AGAGAGAAGTTTTTCTTAAGACACAAACCTGGGAGCATACTATCCATGTTATTCTGCAAGTTACTTGTATCATTCAATAAAATAATGTGGTTAAGATGATGCATTTAAAGCATCTGGCTTGGGGTGCCTGAGTGGCTCAGTTGGTTAGGCATCCGCCTTTGGCTTAGGTCATGATCCCAAGTGTCTGGTAGTCTCCCTCTCCCTCTGCTCCTCCCCCTGCTCATGCTCTCTCTCACTCATTCACTCTCTCTCTCAAATAAAAAAATCTAAAAAAAAAAAAATAATAAAGCATCTGGCTCAGTGCTCAATAGATGGTAGCTATAATTATTCTATGCACCGCATAGTGATGTTTTTAAACTTTCTTTTAGCAGCAAAAGCCTTTTCAAACAAAACAGTATTTGGAAGCCCAATTTATAAAGTAGGTAGAGTGGCTAGGTGCACTTGGCTCTAGGCTCAGGTGCGCTTGGATGGGGTGAAAGGCATGGAGCCCCTCACCCACTTGTCTCTCCAATTGCTTTTGAAAACCTCAGTGTTAAATATCTTTTCAGGATGGCAGAATGTGGGCACACCACATTGAACTGAGTGACATCATTGTAGGTACGCACTGTCTGGGCAGTTTTCACTTGGGTCTGAAGATCCCAGCCAGCGGGGACAGGAAGTTTTTTTTTTTCTTCTCCCAAATTGGTCGAAAGAGCCCAAAAGTCCTCAGACTAGAGCAGACTGTAGCTCAGTGGTTTCCTCTTGGCTTGGTGCTAGCCTGTCATGAATGTTTCATTGGTCCATGAAGAAATGAAGAAAATAAAGTCAATGTGGTGAGGTTTCCATGAAGTTAAGCTTGTTCAAATGTTTCTTTCTCACATTGGAATGTCTTTTCTTTCATGGAATTATGGTGGTAATAATTGGTAGTTGTGTGTGTGTGTGTGTGTGTGTGTGTGTGAATTTCTTACTTACCTAAACAAAAAGTTGGCAACTTTATGCTGTTCCCCTACATTTGTTTCAAAATTTTACTGATCCATGCGATCCTAAAGTCTAGGGACAGCTGTTCTTGTCCATTGTGGCTGCTTTGCCAGGACTTCCTTGGAACAATGCCAGAGAGATAGCAAATTCTCTTCTTGTGCCAGGAATGTTCAAGAACTGTTATCCTTTGATGAAATCAAAGCAACTCTTCCAAGGCTGAGTAGATGGACCCTCTCCTGTGGGGGACTGTGGTTAAGAAAGTCACGTTCTCGGTGAAGCTCTCGCTTGCCCCTGTTGTCACCACTCTCGTCCTTGAGGGGGCACTGCTTCTTTAGACTACCCTGGGCCCAACATGGCGCCACACCCTTTCCTTGATGTCCCACGACCTGAGACTAGAATGGGGCATGCAACCGGGCTTTTGCTAAAGGCTTGTGAATCACTTAAGAGAAATGAGCGCCAAGATAACACAAAGCCAGACTATGGGGCTTGCAAACTCCCCAGCTCACGATCTGCACCACATCTTAGCTGCCTATGACCTTCTAAGTGCTGAGGGCACAGGCAACCAGCTGGAGGCCTCCTCCTCACATTGTGGGCCTCCCTGCCCACCTCTAAGGACTGAGCTGGGGCTTAAGAAAGGAGATGGTCGTTGTCTTACAGGGGTAATTTGGGTGGAAGAGGTAGAAGCTATCAAAGAACTGGGACTTCCTCCTTTACTCTGCTGTGAGCCTCTCAGACAAGGCAGAACTTTTGATTTCTGCCATTTAACCCCAAATCCCCATCCCAACAGTAGATGACAGTGGATTAGGTTCAGGAGGCTCCGGTTGTTAAAAATGTGTGGACACCAGATTGGGCACTTGGCCCTTTACATATAAGGATGCTTGGACAGTATAACAAAGTGTTTTGGGGAGTCTTTCATTCCCCTTAGATGAAGGAGAATTTTCAGTGGCTTTCTTTCAAAACAATTTGTTATACTTGTCTGAACTGTACCTAGCACTTCTTTTGTTGTCATTCATGTGATTGTAAACTTCTGGCATATTTTTCAACTCATGCCATTTGCTTACATTTGCAAAGTAATCACACAGCCTCGCTATTTCTCTTAGTCCTCACTCTGGCCCCATGATGCGGCATTGCTATTCCCACTTTACTGATGAGGAATCTGAGGCTCAGGGGAGCTCTGTGACTTGCTCAGGCCATTCTGCTAGAAGAGGAAGAACTGACATTTGCCTGGCCTGATCCTGTTTTCTCCCCTCCGTACAGCCAGGTCCTACCTACAACTAGGGAACGTGGGAGGTTCTTTGTTGGCGGTGGCTTTTTTCTTCTCTGCAACATTAACCACTGGACTTAGGATTTGAACTTAGGAATCTTGGGGCCATCAGCATTGAGTTCCATTGGAGAAACGAGTGACACCAGTGATAACAATGACAACAAACTACCAAGAAAAACGCTTTTGAGTTTCCATCTTGACCAGATTGGGGAGCTCTTCATTGGTCAAGTTCCAAAAAAGTGCAGAACTGGGCAGAACATGAGCTACTCCCTTCATCTTTCTAGGGTGCTCTACGGTGCTGGCACTAAGCTGAGCCATGGCACCAGCCTGGTGCCACCAGGAGGAGACTCCCACCAACCCACCAGCTCTCTCTCTCTCTCTCGGGCACACTCTGGGAAGATCTTGAAAGGATTGTGTTTTCTGCTGCAGCTGGTTGTGCTGATCTTTTCCTGGGAATGAGGAGCAGGTGCCTGAGGTTTTGGGTTCCCAGTTCTGGCCCATTACAGCTCCCAGAACTTCTCAAGTGGCTAACAGGACCTCTCTCCCACTCTAGACCCCAAACTCAGGAAGCAGGGTGAGGCATGTTTGGGGCCCATCAAGATTTGCTGCCGATGGCCCTGGAAGGAAGAACAGCATTAAAACCTATGGGAGGGGCACCAGGGGGGCTCAGTCGGTTAAGCGTCTGCCTTCGGCTTAGGTCATGATCCCAGGGTCCTGAGATCGAGCCTCACGTTGGCTCCTTCCTCAGCAGGGAGCCTGCTTCTCCCTCTCCCTCTGCCTGCCGCTCCCCCTGCTTGTGTTCTCTCTTATCTCTGTCAAATAAATAAATAAAATCTTAAAAAAAAAAAAAAAAGCCAATGGAGCCAAGCTCTGCGCAGAAGGGCCTGGGGGAGCCTAGGAAAGTACTGGGGTACCAGCCTCTGACATCTCTCCTGATTTGGCTTCTGCCAAGAAAGGATAAGAGGAAGCTTGTTAATGGCCTAGGCACTCGGGGTCAACAGAACTGGAGTAGAGACAGCAGAGGGAGAGGGTCCTACACCTTATCCCACTTGGGCAAGGAATCCAGTGGAGAGGCTAGGGTTGGGACCTACTGAGGGAAGGAGGAACCTACTGGGGGAAGGAGGGACCCACTGGGGAAAGGAGGGGGACCCACTGGGGGAAGGAGTGCCCTCCCGGCCTGAGCAGATGCTCCTAGGCTGAGCTTCCATCATGGTCTGGGCTGCTCTGTTAGGTAGCACAGGAGTCAGGATGCTCTGGGCTGGAATCCCAGGGCCCTGATTTACTGGATGTCTAACCTTGGACCAGGAATTGCTCCCTCAGCTTCAGTGTCCACAGTGTGCTCACACTCACCACAGTGCAGACACCATCATATACAGAGGTTCATATACACTGTGAAGGGACAGGATATTTACCGTGGAGGCTGCCTTGTAGACTGGCCTAATAATAAACACATGAACAACGCGTTCAAATTTGTGAGACCATTCAAATGGTTAAGATAGCAAAGGACACCAGCAGAAAGCTTTCACAAGTGGTAAATAGATACATGAAGAACATTTCAACTCAGAAGTAATAAGGAAAGGAGAGAAAGGGCAACAGTGAAGTACCATTTTATACTTATTCAATTAGCAAAGTATAAAAAACAGTAACACATTAGGAGGTAGAGGTTGCACTCTGAGTGGTACATTTATACCTTTTGATACACCCTTTCAAAAAGAAAGCCCCAGTGTGTACCTAGAGCCATAAATGTTTGTAACCTTTTTCTTATACCCTTCAATATGGCCATTCTAGTCCATAGAATTAATCTTAAAAGAATGATCCTTTTTAACTGTCTATTTTAAGTATTTTTCAAACATACAAAATAAAATAGAATAGTATAATGAATCCCCCTTTACTAAAGGAATATTTTAACGGAAGGAAAAAGAGCCATACTTACGTGAACATAAGTATGTCCACAGTCAAAAATTAAAAACAATCCATGCAACAGGCAAATGTGTGAATAAATAAATCTGATTTGTCTTCAGATAGACTATCGTGTAGTAACTGAGATGACAAATATGAAAACTGGGATTGTATAAAGTATGATCTAATGTTAAGTGAAAAACCAGAATTTAAGCTGTGTCTACAGGTGATGACAATGGGGTAAGAATGTATATTTGAGCAAAGGCTAAAAGGAAATGTGCAAAGTAATTGCTGCATGGGGGCAGGGGGATGCTGAATTAGGTTTTTTTCTCCTTGAATATTGTTATATTATTTTTACAATGAAAAGAAATGAGAGGGATAGTCTAGGCTCTGCCCCCGAATCAATCTGTGAATAAGCATTTGTTGGGCACCATTTCCACAGGTAATTTGTGTTAAGGGTTGAATTTAGAAGTGGCAAGGAGCAGGCTTGGGGGCAGGACTCAGTTTGGGGGCAGAGGTTGGTCCCTAAGAGTCTCAAAGACTCTCAGAATGTCAGGGCCACATGGGACCAGTCTAACACCTTTGTTTTATAGTCTCGGGCCCTGAGGCCCAGAGAAGCTGTGACTTGCCCAGAATAACCCAGCAAACGCCTGGCTATTCCGCATAGGGGTAGGCACTCTCGCAGAACCAACTGGTGGGCCTTACCGCGCTCCCCCTTCCTCAGGGCACCTCCACATCCCTGAGTCGCTGCAGATGGGTGGAGAGAAGGCAACCAGACAGAGGGCACTCTTCTAGTGCAGAGGTGGGGGCTGGGCAGCACAGAGGGCACAGCGATGCTGCTCCTAGGCGGTAAACCCCCATTCCACGATCGTCTCCACAGGACCCTGAGTGGGCTCAGCCAGACCCAGCCCTCCCAGCAGCACGCAGGCTTGTCCCGGACTGTCCGGCTTTACCCAACCGCCGCAGCCAGCGGTCAGCTCACCTCCAATGCCCTGCCCGCAGGGCCAGGCCTTGAGCGGAGGGATGGCGCCCAGCAGGCAGCGTATCTGGACCGCCTGTCATCCCCCTGGGGTAAGGATGCCCTGTCTCAGGGTCCTAGGAGAGCAGGGCATCTCAGTCTCTGACCTCCTTGTCCCTGCTTTTGCTTCCCCTTCACTCTCACGGGCCGGCCGAGTTTCACCTGCCCCTCATCCTCTCAGCCAATCAACCAGCAGTCGCCAAGTGCCTGCTTTGTGCTGGGCTCCAAGGGTCCCAAACCAGCTGATCGGGGACTTTGCCCCTATCACACATCCTGCCTTTGCTTCCTTCATATCCAGCCATGAACCTCCCCTTCCTGGCCCTGCTCCCTCCACGCTGTCACCAGACATCCCCACGGCAATCAACACCAGGCTCTCTACCTTTCCCATCATGACCCACTAGCAGGACATCCATCCCTGGCCCTGCTCCCTCCACCTTATCCTTCCTGCAAACCTCCTGGACCAACCTGAGCAGTTGCTTCCTTAGCACCCACAGCTGGGCTTCTGCGTTCTAGAGGAGACAACTGAGCATCCCTGTGGGTTCATGCCTCGGCACATTCTGCTCCTTGCCCAACAGTCCTTTCCTTTGCGCCTGCTCCCTCTCTCTGTCTCTGTCTCTGTGTCTCTCATCCCTCAGAGCGGCTAATCCAAGCTGCCCTCCACTTTCCCAAGCCCCATCCCATCAGCACACGGACATGCCTGCCACCTCTTGGAGAGTGCCTCACCTCCCTGCCCATCTGCCCCACTGTGCACACCACTCCCTTACCTAAAGCCAGGCCTGAGCTCACCTCCTTTCTTTTCTTGCCATGGTAAAAGTTGAAGTGAAATTCACATAAAATTAACCATTCTTGAAGTGTACACATCAGTGGTTTTAAGTGTATAATTTTGTGCAACTGCCATCACTCTCTAATTCGAGAACATTGTCATCACTCCCAAGAGAAATCCTGTACCATTAAGCCTCTTTCCCCCTCTCCCAAGCTCCAGGCCCCACTGATCTACTTTGTCTCTAGAGATTTGCTTACGTTGGACGTGTCCTAACAGAGCCTGCACAATATGTGGCCTTTGGTGTCTGCTATAACTTAGTATCATGTTTTCGAGGTTTATCCCTGTCAGTACTCATTCCTTTTTTTAATCCATGACCTCCTTCCTTGCCATCTTGAAAAGGGCATGTCCCCCTTCTTGATTCCTCTAGAACACTAGACCATCTCTTGTCCCACCCCCCCACACGCTCTCTCCTCCCTCTTCAGCCTGCCCCCCCAGCTCCTTCCCACCAGCAGATACACTTGGTTCCCGCTCCCATTCTCACACACACACTTGCACACACACACACACACATCCACAGAGTTCTTTCTTTACTTCCCTCGGGCTTCCTCCCTGTCTCTCCCCCCTTCCCAGGCTAGCTTCTTGAACACACGGTCTACACAGACTTTTTGTACTTCCCTCCTCAAGCCCTCTCCCTCTGGTTTCCCTCCTGGGGCTCCCCACGCTGAATGAATACCCCTTCTTTGTATTTCCACCACGACCACCTGTGTTACAGAACTAGCTTGCAGGGCTGCGTGCCCTCCCAGCTGGTCTCCCCGCCTCTCTGCCCCCCCCCCCGCCCACTCCAGCTGGGAGGGCACCAGTCCTCCACGCGTCCTCTTTGATCTCTCACTGAAAACTTTCAAAGGCTTCCCACCACCAACCAGATAAAGGGCCGGTTCTTGTCCTCATTCTGGCAATCAGGGCATCCACACCCTGACTCTAGTCCTTCTTGCAGCCTCTGTCTTCCTCCCCTTCTCTTAGAAAACTCCCTCTGGCAAGTCACAGCTACAGTCAGTCCTCTGCCCGCAGGTTCCACGCCCGACTGTGGCACTTGCCAGCTGTGTGACGGGGGGCAACCCAACCTTCTCTGGGCCTCAGTTTCCTTGACTGTAAAACAGAAATATCAGATTGGGTATAGGAACATGGTCAGTATTCGGCCACTGTAACCTACCAAAATGGCAATTTCTAATGGTTCAACCTAAAAGGATACTCCCCCAAGAAGGATAAGAGTGAATGTGCATAGAGCATGAGCTTGGTGGTTGGCACGTTGGCATCCCTCGATACGTGTTGGACCGTGAGCTTCTCAAAGGTACCACCACCCTGCTCCCGCGGTGGGACCTTGCTTCCAGTAGGTACTTAGCAAATGCCCTTGGGAAGGATTCACCCCCGACCCCATGGGCCTTTCTAACCAGCCCCCGGGGGTCATAGCTGCACCTCTCAGCCCTGCCCCCTGGACCCAAGCCCTCTCTCTGCAGGGCTGAACCTCACTGAGAAAATCAAGAAGATCAAGATCGTCTTCACTCCCACCATCTGTAAGCAGACTTGCGCCCATGGACATTGTTCCAACAACTGTGAGCGTGGCGACACCACCACCCTATATAGCCAGGGTGGTCACGGGCATGACCCCAAGTCTGGCTTCCGAATCTGTAAGTCCCATCCCCCCCCCAGGGGATTCCCAGGCCCTGGGGAGGGGCAGGGTACCCAGAGGGACAGGCCTGCCTTGGGCAGGAGCCCAGACCTTCTGCTGGAAGGAAGCCTACTGCTCTCATACTATGGCTTCTGTGAGTTGTCCCCAGTCACACAGAATGCTGAGTCCTCACCCAGCTCTGTGACAGCCTAGCTGTGTGACTCTGGCAAGTCCCACAACCCACCTGAGTCCATGGTTCCCCCACAGAGAAGTGAGGGAGTTAGTAGAGTTAGCCCTCCTGTCCCCCAGGTTATTGTGGGATGCCGGGAAGATGTGAAAAGGCTCTTCAGAAAGGCAAGGGCCGGCTGTTATCTACCGCTCCTCACTCCCGGCGTCCTGGAAAGTCCCTGCATTTCAGGGTGTGCTGGGCTCCCCGGGCCATCCAGATTGGAGTGCCTGCTCCCCCGCTTCCCTGTGGTCACCCCCTGGCCCCGTGGTGGGCACTGCTATGTTGTTCTACCACTGGTCACCTTGAGATCAATGTTGTAGATTTCTGCCAGATCCCCTGCCTGAACGGGGGCCGCTGCATCGGCCGGGATGAGTGCTGGTGCCCTGCCAACTCCACCGGAAAATTCTGCCACCTGCCCTCCCCGAAGCTGGACATGGGGCCTCCAGAGAGGGGCTCCCGCCATGGGGCCCTGCGGGAAGGCCCCTTGAGGCAGTCCACCTTCACCTTGCCTCTCTCCAACCAGCTGGGTGAGTGTGGGGCTGGGGGGTGCACTGGGCCATGGGCATGGGGGTGCCGGAATCGTGGTGGAGGGCATGGAAGCTGCCTCCAGTCAGACCTCCCTCCTTCTCTGCCCCCGGGGCTCAATTTCATTTCCTAAACTTCTCTTTGCCCTTCCTCCGAATTCATCAATAATATTTTTTGCCCTTGCTCCCTACTGGGTGCTATGGATGAGACAAAAATGTATAAAGGCGGGGTCCTGCCTTCAGAGAACCCTTAGCCCTGGACAAGAGAGTGGGGCTGGATAGGAAGAATGGAACATGCCTTCCATTATTAGGTGCCACGTAAAAGCTACCAAAAATACAGACTTCCATAGGAGGTCAGGGGGTGGAGAGCCCCCTAATTGTGCTCAGGAAGGCTTCATGGAGGAGGTGAACTTCAGCTGGACTTAAAGGGTGGATAGCCTTTGATTAAGCAGAGACGGTGGGAGGGGTTCCCCTGCGCAGGGACCAGCATGAGCCACGGTGTGGAGGTGGGGCCCTGCAGGGTCTGTCGGGCCAGAGTTCAGGGGTTGTGCAGGATGGTGGGGGGAGGTAGAATCAGGAAGGTAATTTGGAGGTTGAGTATGAAGGTCCTTCTTTGGAAGGAGCAAAGTGAAGGAGTTTGCGCTCCATCCTGTCCTCACTGGGGAGTTGTTCTGGGTTTGAACAGAGAGTGGAAAAATGGAAGGAGAATTTGGGGGAGACATAGAGCCAGTGGCCTGGCCCAGGGGTGCTGGGCCATCTTCAGAAGGTGGGGCCCTGTTGCCCGGCTCTGACCCAGCCCCTGTGCCCAGCCTCCGTGGACCCCTCCTTGGTGAAGGTGCATATCCGCCACCCGCCGGAGGCCTCCGTGCAGGTCCATCAGGTGGCCCGGGTGCGGGGCGAAGTCCCGGAGGAGAACAGCGTGGAGACCAGACCCTCGCCCTGGCTTCCCACCAGCCCCCGCCATAGCCACTGGGACAGCAACAGCATCCCCGCGCGGTCTGGAGAGGCCCTTCAGCCACCGCCCCCAGCAGCACCCAGGCCTCCAGGAGGGCTGGGCCGCTGTTACCTGAGCTCTGTGAATGGACAGGTGAGAATGCATCCCCTGCCTCAGCCCTACAGGCTGCTCCCCGCTCTGTCCCTTCTTCTCGCTGCCCCTCGTCCTTACGGAACGTATGTCTGTAGAGTCTCCTAGTCCCCATATGGGAAAATGTAGGGTATAAATCGTGTGAGCAAGGAGAGGCCTCCTTACTATCTAGGCTCCACTGGATACTTGTCAGTGCCAGGCATGCCGAAGAAGCCCCAAAGGAGTCCCCCTCTGGAAGGGCACCAGCATCTTCTGGTCCCAGTAAACCCTGGCCTGTACTGGAGCCGAGCCTAGGACTCCCGGTGCATAGACGGTAGGGCTGTTAGATCCTACAAGAGAAAGTGTGGTATTCCATTGAAATTGAAGATCGCAGAGATGCGGATAGGTTAAACCCTAAAGCTTTGGGCGTAAAAGATGAGAGACACCCCATCCCTCCTGGAGGCATCCATAGTCAGTGATGGGCAATCGGGGGAGTTTTTCTGAATCTAGGCACCTAAAGATATGGGCTAAGCCAGACCTAGGATGGTTTTCGTTAGAGTTGCATTTTGGCGTTGCCAGAAACACCTCCTGAGGTTAGGGAACTGGAGGAGGTAGGGGGTAGCCCAGGGAGAGGGACTCTGAGTCCCCAGATCCTCCTTGGCCTCTCGGCTTGCAGTGTCCCTGAGCCTAGACCCTGTTCGTGGGGAAGACTTGCATCGTAGGTGACCCTATAGTTCCCTGGAGTTTGATGGAGGAGAGCCCATCCTTTGGGACCCTCTGTGGGCTGGGGACATGGAAGGGGGCAGTTTGCAGTCCTGCACAGAGCAGATCTTTTCTTACCTGGGTGTGCCCTGCCCCCAAGTTTAGGGTTTGGTGGGATGGACTGCAAGTTTCTCTGCTTCCTTCCGGGGCATCCCCTGACTCTCTCCTCTCCTCCCTTGGGTGAAGCATCCCTGTAGCAGGATGTTGGGGTTGAGCCCTCACCTCAGATTTTCCTGGGACAGCTCTGTGCACAGCAGGAAGGGGAAGAGGGTGTGATGGGTGTCCATGGCCTCTTTTCCAGTGTGCCAACCCCTTGCTGGAGCTGACTGCCCAAGAGGATTGCTGTGGCAGTGTGGGAGCCTTCTGGGGGGTGACCTCATGTGCCCCATGCCCACCCAGACCAGGTGAGTGCTAGGTGCGGGGGTGTAGGGTTTGGGGCACAGCTCTCCCAAGGTCTGGCCTCTGCTTCATCTCCCACCAGGGTCTCAGAGGCCAGGCAGGGAGAACAGGCTGGTAAACTGGGCAGGCTTTCCAGATCTGCTTTGAGGGTGCTTCTGGCTGGTGGCTGAGACTCCTGACAGCTCAGAAGGCTTGAGCCCAGGTGCAGCCTGGACTCTCTGCTCTATCCGATTGCCTGGGAGAGGTTCCTCCCTCATGCCAGTTGTTCTTGCTCAGATTGTAGGGGTCCCATCCCATGCTGGGCCCCCTTCTACATACCCCCCTGCCCAGGCATCAGGAGCCCAGTGATCTTGATGTAGTGACTCGGCGTTTCCCTCATTCTCTCCCTGGAGGGGCCTCCAGGCCTCCGCCTCACCTCCTGTTTCCTAACCCAGTCAAGGTTGGGTGTCTGTCCCAGAGGGTCCTCTGCCTTGGGATATGGGAAACCCAGTTCCCTGCTCTCTTTTGGATGGTGGGAAAAGCCTAACATGTATTCATTCATTCATTCATTCATTCACTCATTTGTTCATTTATTCAGCAAATACTAACCAGGTGCCTTGTGTGTGCCAAGCACTGAGGATTTGGGAGTCAGCAAAATGTCTGTTCATGCTGCTTTCCTAGGCATCAGTCCTACGGTTGGGAGGTGGGTGATCAGGTGCCTGTGCCTGAGTATAGCTTCTGCCCGCTGGGCCTGTCTTCTCCCACCCGGCCCCACTCCTGGGGTCTGGGCCCAGGCCTGGCATGGATTTCTTTTTCCTGTCAACAGTCAACTTGGTGAGTTGGCTTTGTAGGGGGCCTGGCCTGGCGCCCACAGGTGGGAGGGGCAGGGCTGTTCTTAACTTCAGACTTGGTTGTGGAGCAAGGACCATATTTTCCAAATTAAAAATAAGTGTGGCTGGTTTTGCAGTGTGATGGAGCTTCCAGGCTAGCTGTAAGCTTCCAGGCTTGAGCACCCAGCACGGAGCAGGTACCTCTGCTAGCTGACCTCGTGTCTGCGCCCTCTGCATTCTGCAGAACGGAGACGGTGGGGCTGCTGTGGCAAGTAGATGAGGCATGTGCTTAGGTCAGGTCAGTAACCAGTAGCTGTTACTCTTATGGCTGCAAAGTATCCCTCCACAAAGGGAAAAGGGCGGGGACCCACTGCCCGGAGGCAGAAGAGGGCCTTGAACTGCTCAGCATCTCCCCCTGCAGGCCAGAGATGTCTCACCACTTTTCTTCTTCGCCTCTTTCCCTTCCTCCTTCTGGTTAGGCCCACCCTTGAGACTTCCACATCCCACATTCCATTCAGTCAACGGATATTTACATTAGTGAAGCACCCATTTGAAGTGCTCCTAGTGTGTGGGCCCAGGAAAGACAGTGGAGACTGAGCCAGAAGCAGTGTCTCCTTTCTCCAAGCTTACAGTCTTGGGTATGGGGGGCGTATACAGGTAGCACTAACTAGACAAATGCCAGATGTGGTGGGAGCACAGCGGAACCGGGACCATAGATAGGTCCTAGAGCACCTTTGTACAAATTAGAGGAAGGTGCCACTTCCTTTGTTCAAAACAGTCTTTACAAATACAAATCTAAGATGCCAGCGATTCTCTGAGATGTGGTGCTTTTGTGCAGTGGACAACCTGCACATCTGTTCACTGTGGGGTAGGGGATCCTAGCTCAAATTTGTGGATCAGGGAAAGCTTCTTATAGGGGGTGACATCCGGGAGGAGATCTGAAGAATTATTAGAATAGGCCAAAAAATGGGGAAGAGCTTAACAACTCAAGGAAATTGCAGATGCAGGTGAGACCAAGAGAGTGAGAAACTTTTCCTGGAGCACAGCACACCCAAGGCTGTGCCCTCACCTCCTCCCTGTCCCAGTTAGTGCCTCCCACCCCCCTCTCCCCCACTGTGTTCAGCACATCTCAGCAAGCCAGGCACCAGGTTGCAAACCCTGGAATGTCAAGCATTCCAGCACACCGAGCAAGAAATAACAAAGACCAGGGAACGTAAACACTTACAACACGTTCAAGTGCAATGGCATTGTATAGAGAAGGGGCAAGACGCTGAGGAAATTTTTTGTGTTGACAGGGTGCCAGACACCTAGCTCCACACCTGAGCCTAGGGCTGTGGGTTGGGGATGGTTCTCTAAGTAGGTATGACAAGCAAGCTACCGTGCAAGAGTCAGAAGAAGAAAAGGTGAGCTGCTGGGGTAGGTTTGGGAATGGTTGGCAAGGCAGGTGGGACTTCTGGGTTCTAGAACATTCCTAGGCCTGGTGGCTTTGCCTCTCTGAGCCTCTAAGTCTCCTCTGATGAAATGAGGCTGTGTCCTTCAGGGAAGGGCTTTGTCATCCCCAACAAGGTCATCTAGCAGAATCAGGGGATGAAGGGAGTAATAAAGCCAACAGCCGGGGAGCTATGTGACTTCATAGCTTCCCCTAAATCACCTTTTGGCTTCTGAGGCTCCATGCTGGACTGTCAAAGAAGGCCCCTGCAGAACAATGCTATTTCTGATGAGGAAAGAGACTGCCTTGAAATCTCATTTACGTGGCACAGATAAATCCCTTTTCTTCCGGAAAAAATTCTCCAGTGCTCTCTTTCTCAGGGAGATGGCTCAGGGAGTCCATTTAGGTCAGCTTCTGATCCTCTCCCTTCTTTCTTCCTTCGCTCTGGGTGACAGATGCAGCCGACCTTCCAGAACGCGGCCTGAGCCCCATCTTCCTGACCCTCAGGAGTTTTCAGAGCCTCTGCAGTCCTCCTGTCAGGGTCCAAAGAGTGACAGCTCTCAAAAGCCACTTTGATTAAGGCCACATTTTTGAGTTTTTGTCTGAGAAAGACAGACATCTGGGTTGACTGGAAAGTTGGCCGCTGCCCCATCTGGCTTGGTACCGGCTGTGTCAACCCCCAGGCCCCTTCTCTGGGGTGGGCGGGCCTGGCACCCTGCTCTCAGACCGCAGTGGTGGGCTCCAGCTGTTTGCCACGAGATCATCTGTCCATCTGCCTGGCATGGGATGAGGTCACCTCAAGACCCAGGCCCCTGCCTGTCCCTCCAGGGACTGCTGATTCTCTTGCTCTGCCCCTTCAAGGAGTTCTGCATCTTTCCCTCTTAAAAGCAATGATAGCCCCTCTTGCTGAACGTTCACATGCTACACTGGCCTCTTCACCTGCCTGATCTCATGAAATTGTCGCAACCACGTGCAAGCTAACAGTCTTTATCCCCACTTGACAGATGAGGAAGATGAAGCTCAGAGAGGGGCTGAGCAACTTGTCCAAGGTAACACAGCAGAATAGGGGAGCAGGGCTTCAAACCACAGTATGTCTGACTCTCAGCTGACCGGAATCTCCCGAACGATTCTGGGGAGACTTGAGCCCGCCCAAAGACAACAAAAACCAGGACCTTAGACTCAGAGTTCACAGCCAAGACGGGGCCGCCCGGGGTCATGTCTCATGAGTTATGTGCGTGTAAAGGACAATATCCCTCAAGAAGATGGGGATTGCATAGACAGGCAGGCAGCAACCTACAGCTCAGGCCTAAGTGTTCACAGAGATGTGCTGGATGAATTGTCCCAGAGGAAAGCCGGTAGACTTGTTCCATGTGGTCCTGGAGGGCTAACGCCAATGTGTGGATGTTTCTGGTGAGCAGAGCTCAGTTCGAAACTGAACACAAGGAACAGCTTATTAAAAACTGCAGCTTACCAAAACCCAACGATACAATGGGGCATGCCCGGAAGTACTTCGCTCCCCACCACGGAAAGGAAGCCTGCTAAGAACCGGCTCGTAGAAGGAGCTGGAAAGGATACTGATTTTTGAGGGAATGGAGGTTCATATGTATGTGTCCGAAACTGTGCTGGAAACCCTCAGTAGAAGGCAAGCTTTGGTTTGCCTTGGTTTGGCCAGGGCCCTTGCCCAGGGACCGGCTCAGGGGAGGCCAGCCCCTGCGGGGGGGGGGGGCACATGTGAGGGGGTGCGGGCAGCACCAGGGTAAGTCACAGCAGCAACATTGTTTTTGTCACCATTGCTGTTAGCAGCCGTGTGCCAGGCACCATGCTAACTGCTTCCTCATTCCACTGCATCCTGACCACATCTCTGGGAGTTGGGCATGACCTTCTTCATTTTACAGGTGAAGAAGTTGTGTCTACGTGACCTGAGACCCCCTGCCTCTAACCGGCCTGGATCTGCCTCCTAGGCTGCTTCTTGTGCACTTGGCTTGCGGACTTTGCTCAACTAGAGGACCCTGGCTTAGGGAACAGCTGTGCTGGGGTGGGGCTCCTGTTCTCTGGGACTCTGGCTGAGACGCCCAGACTCCCGCCCTCAAGAAATGGGATTTTTCAGAATTCCAGTTGTTGGGCTGAAAAAAAGCAGTGTCTCTTTGGCTCAGGGATGTTCTGAGAGCTTCTTCCAAGGGACTCAAGGCCTCCAGGGAATTGTGCCTCAGCTCAAGTTAGCGCCCTCCTTACCCCAGGGCGGGGGTCACCAACACGTGGCATCTCTGGCCTGGAGAGGTCCATGGGGGGGCTGCGGTGGGGTTGGCTGGAGTGGCACCTGTCTGAGCCAAGGGTCTGACCAGACCCCTCTCCACCCCACTGCTTGTGGTGACCCAGACATCCACTTTAGCTCTTATGCTGCCCCAAGGAAGCAGTCAGAGCCCATCTTTGGGTGGGATTTCCACAATCCTTCGGGGGATCCATTAGGACTTCACCAAGCAGGAAAATGTGGCATAATGAACCTTATAATAATCACCAATATGTGACAAGGATCGTGCTCAGAGTTTTGCATGCTTTTTTACTGTTCACAATAGCCCCAAGGAAGGAATTGTCACCTATATTTTACTGATAAGAAAACTCAGAGAGGTTGAGCAACTTGCCCAAGTGTCTCCAGCCAGTGAGGGGCAGCAGCCTGCTTGCTAACCTTAAAACTGTGTTGCTAGAAGGAAGGAAGGGAGGGAGGAAAGGAAGGAGGGAGGGAGGGAGGGAGGGAAGGAAGGAAGGAAGA